TTTTCTATTTTGAAATAGAAAAGCAAGTTATTTTGTGTTAATATTTTGGAGCAATACTTTTCATCAGTTTCATTCAGGTTGTGGCATGAAATCCACCATTTACTCATTCATTCCAAAAACAGTTATTGGGGGGGCAGCCCAGTGGCACAGCGATTAAGTTCATGTGATTCGCTTTGGCGGCTGGGGTTCGCTGGTTCAGATCCTGGGTGCGGATGTACACACTGCTTATCAAGCCATGCTGTGGCAGGCTTCTCACATAAAATAGAGGAAGAGAGACACAGATGGTAGCTCAGGGCCAATCTTCCTCAAAAAAAAAAAATTATTGAGCAGCTGATATATTGTAGGAAGAGTGCTAGATTCATGGATATAGATAAAAGTTGGAGATCTAAGCAGCTCACGGACTAGTGCTGAAATAAATAAACCCCAGCACTCTGACAGAGGTACCTTTCCATGTGCTATGAGCAGATGCCGGGAGGAGACCTGGATTCCCAGACATCTGAGCTAAATTTTGAAAAGGAATAAGTAAAAGTTCATCAGATGAAGAATAGGAGAAGCAGGTTTCCAGGCAGATGGAGGAAAAAATCTTGATAAAGCCAGGAGGTTTGAGAGAAGTTCACATTCTGGGGAACTACAAGGATATCTGGAGGGCAAGGGGATAGGAAGTAAGGGCAGATGGGGCCAAGAGAAGTCAGCAAAGCCACAACATGAAAAATCTGAGATGATATGCTAAGAAGTATGGATATTGTGTTGAAAGTAATGGGGCAACAAATAATGAAGTCTATGCAGGAGAGTGACATGATTAGATTTGCTTTATTAAATGGTCCCTAGAACGATGTGAAGCAGTGGTTCTCAACCAGGGCAATGTTGACATTTGCTCACAAACAGGGGGAAGGGGTGATACTGGTATCTAATGGGCAGAGGGCAGGGATGCTACTAAATATCTTATAATGCCTAGGACAAGCCACCACAACAAAGAATTGCCCAGCCAAAAGTATCAATAGTGCAAATGTTAGAAACCCTGGTATGGTAGGCTGAATAATGGCCCTGCAATGTGTTCACCTCTGATCCCTGGAACTCGTGAATACGTCACCTTACACGGAAAGAGACTTTGCAGGTGATTAAATTAAGGATTGTGAGATGAGGGGATCATACCTGGATTATCTGGGTGGGCCCAATGTAATCACAATGGTCTTGATAAGAGGGAGGGAGGAGGGTCAGAGACAGAAAAGATAACGTGAGGAGAGGAGCACAGTCAATGAAGGAGATGGGATGATGCTACACTGATGCCTTTGAAGAAGACGGAAGAAGGAGCCAGGAGCCAAGGAATGTAGGCAGCCTCCAAAAGCTAGAAGGGACAAGGAAAGGGATTCTCACCTAGAGCCAGTTCTGCTGACAGCTTGACTTCAGGCCAGTAGGACTGATCTTGGACTCTAGACCTTCAGAACAGTTAGAGAATAATTTTGTGTTATTTTACTCCACTAAGTGTGTGGTAATTTGTTACAGCAGCAATGGGAAATTAATGTCTGTTTTGGAGGATGGCATAGATGGAAAGCAAACCTTGATGCAGATTAAACAGTAAGGAGGTATCAATATGGAGAGGCACTTACCAGAGCACTGGAGATATCGCCGTCATCCAGGCAGAAAATTCCTGCTCTCTTGAAGCTTATAATGCAGTGATTTGTATGATTACAAATCTTGTTATATTCCAGAAAATAACCCCCATATGATGCTAATTTCCTTTCCCAATCCGTCATACATCAGCTAGCTTTTTCTACCTTGAATAGAAAGTTTTACTTTTCATTTATTCAAATTTAAAAGTACATTATGATTTGTACTTTCCCCCCAAATCCAATTTCATAAAATATCTCCCTACGTTTTTTTCTATTAGCTTTATTTATAGTTTTATCATGATAGATTGATTGTTATTCCCAATTATTCACTCTCTTCCTCACAGCAGTATCATTAACCCCACCCTTGCCATGTGTTCCCATAGAGGAATAGATGCCGCCACACCATAGTCAGGACTGGCCATTGGACCACCTTTGGTCAATTGAATGTGAGTTCTCTCATCTGATCATAAACTTGTGAGGGAGAAATAAATTGTTTGTTGTTGGATACCACTGAGACTTTGGGGTGGTTTTTTATGCAGCCTAACCTGGGGAAATTGGACTAAAACATTTGTGTTTACATTTAGGACTTTTATCTATGATGCCATCATTGTTATATGCTATATGCAAAGTTATCCTTTATATATAAATCTGTTTGGTCTCTGTATGCTGTTTCATTGATCTACTTGTTCCTGCACCAATTCTATACTATTTTTATGACTGATATTATAATGTGTCTTATATCTTGTGAGCTCCCACTTGTCGTCTTCCTTCTCAAAATTATATTAGCTTTGTATGAAGGTTCACACTTTCCAGTTATATTTAGGGTCAACATTTCATGTTCTCTCCCAAATTCTGCTGAGATATTGAGTATAAAGCCACTGAATTTATAGATAAACTTGGGAAACCATTAATAGCTTTGCAATGTTCACATACCTTCTTTTATTAAGGTCTTATTTGATTAGCTTTAGAAATTTTATACGTTTCTCTATGAAGATGTTGTGCTTTCTTTATTGGTTTAATTCCTAGTTATTTCATAGTTTGGGTTAATATTTTGAGTGGCATATTGTCTTCTATCATATTTTTAGTTGGTTTTTACTGTGTAAGGTGTCGGATTCCAATGTGAAATGTGTACACCCAAATGGGGAAGAGAAGAAAATATTAACACTTCTATATATGTTTATTTTTAATTTTATTTAAACATTTTTATTTTTTAGGCAAATAATACCTAATGTATGAATATGTTAGTTCTATAATAATAAGAATAGCTAAATTTTATGAGACATCAACTGTGTGGTACGTATTATTCAAGTGTTTTCCAAGTATTAAGTCACTTAATCCTCACAATATCCTAAATGGTGTTGTCATCATCATCATCATTATTATTCTCATTTTATAGACAAGAAAAATGAGGCAGAAAGTGGTTATGTAACTTGCCTAAGTTCACATACGTAGTAAGTGACAGAGCCAAGATTTGAACCCAAGGCAATCTTGCTCTTAGTCTCTACGCTGTGACATATGTGAAGTACGTAACTGGAATTTACGAGTAAATATTGGGGTCATACTAGGCTCATAAAATGAGTTTGCCTGCTTTTTAAAGATAAGGATTATATCTGTTTTAAAGCTTTATTTATCAACTTTTAGAGGAACCAATATGTTGAGACTAGTGGTAGAAAAATGCTATTAATCTTTAAAGTCTACCTTCTACCTGGCAATTTCACATAATGCTTTTATTAGATACTCTCATTTGTTCATTCTCTTGGGTATTCTACGTAGATAATCTTATCATTTATAAATAATGACAGTTTTTCTCTCTTCTTTTCCAATTCTTATCATTGCTAATTATTTTCTTTGTCTTATTGTGTTGGCCAGGACTTTCACTTCTATATTGAATAGTAGTAGTGATAAAATTTTATCAAGTTAAAGACTTCATATTTGCTTCATGTTCATTAAATAAGTGTAAAATTTATTAAATGCTTTTTCTATATCTACTGAGATGATTATTTATCTTTCTTTTTTCATCCACTATTGTGATGAATTACATTGATAGAGTTTTGATCAGTAAACCATTGTGAGCTTCCTGAGACAGTCTCTGCCAGTTCACACTGTATTATTCTTAATAGAGTTTTGAATTTATTTGGCTAATATTTTGTTTAGTATTTTCTCATTTGTATTCAGAAGTGGACTAAGACTATATTTCTTTTTCTTTTATATTGTTCGTACTCAATTTTAATATCAAGATATTAAGCTCATAAAATAACTTGTGCAGTTTTTGTTTTTTTCTGGAAAAGCTTTTATAAGATAAAATTATCTACTTTTTAAAGTTTCACGTATCAACCTCTAAAGGACCCTATTTCATCTAACTCCGAGGTAGTTAGCAAGAAAGAAAGGCAGGGATACTAAAGCTGTGTAATAACATTTTCTAGAGGAAGCTGATTTAGTCAGTTAAGTATTTTCTATAATTCATCATAAGATGAGTGAGCTTTAAACCTTCACAGCAGAATTTTGAAATTCGTAGTATTTGGCAATTTTGGAAAGGATTAAGAACATTAGCGCTTTTGTATATTTGCTTCATGTAGCATTGTCATCTTGGTTGCCAACCATTTTTGAAGACAGTTTCCTCCACAATTCCTGTATGATTATTAATGCAACGAATTAAAACAACTTTGTCAACATAAATTATGTTTTACTGGGCAAATTGAAAGACAAAAAGGAATCAGATCTCAGAAGGCAATTACTATAAACATGAGACTTCTGGTGGGGACCACATTGGTTCAAGCGAGCAGATAATCAGGGTAATCGTTCTTCAAAAATGCAGAATTCCTACTTGAGGCAAAGAGGCAACTATTATCTGTCTCAATTGGTTCAGAATGTGGATGAAGGGTTCAGTGAGGAGCTCCTCTTAAGACATAAAAGCTGAGAGCAGAAATCTTCCTATCTTTCAGCCAGCATCTCAGGGAGGGACTTAGACATTTTATTGATTGATTGATTGATTGATTACAGGGAAAGTTTCGCCCTGAGCTAACATCTGTTGGCAATCTTCCTTTTTTTCCCCTCCCCAAAGCTCCAGTACGTGGTTGTACATCATATTGTAAGTCTTTCTGTTCTTCTATGTGAGCTGCCACCACAGCATGGCAACTGACAGACAGGTAGTATGGTTCTGTGTCCGTGAAAGGAAACTGGGCCTCCGAAGCAGAGCACACTGAACTTTAACCACTAGGCCATCAGGGCTGGCTCAGGACTTAGTCGTTTTAGACCACAGACCAAGAGTGTAAGAGATTTGAAATCTTTCACTTGCAGATTCATTGTTGTTGTTTTTAATGATTGCTGGTTTCACATAATGTGTAACTGCAAAACTCTGAAGACATTAACAACCCGTGTGCTTGTTTTAAGGGACAACAAGGCATTTGGAGAAGTGGAAGCAATGGACAGAGTGGGAGGTCTCAGCTGATAACAAGAGCAGAGACTAAGCTAACTCTTTCTGGCCGCTACAAAGAAGAAAAAGAGCCCACAGGAAAGGTCTTGAACTGAGAATGGACCCGGAGTTTAAAACAGAAATGCTTGAATTATCTCGTTATGCCATGTTATCTACTTTGTGGACATTCCAAGCTCAGCTGGATTGTGTTGAGGCATGATTTGAAGTAAGGCAACACTGAAATTGATAGCTGTGAAATGACAGCAGCAGATGGACCTGGCTAGCATGAAGCCATCAAAGGTGTGCAAAGTTTAAGGAAAAATACTCAATCCTGAGCTTGACAGACCATATAGAAGCAGGTTATATCATTAACTAAAGGTCACATATAAATACAGTAAGCTTGTTTAAGACAGGTGGGCATGTCCTAGAATTCTCAATCACATTTATACGGTTGGAAGATAACTTGTCAGCTCTATGTATATCCATTTCTACCTACGTAATAGGACAAATAGGAATCTCAGGAGGTGATTGAGCCCAGTCTATTGTATTTGATGTCTTAATGAGAACATAATGGTTATAATATAGTAAAATGGATACGTATTCCTAACAGAACAGAAGGGTCCATTTCAGTAGCCAAATGTAAGATCATTTCTTGCCCAAACTTCCAGCATATAATTTTAATCAGTTACCTAAGTGAACAGAAAAATTCTGTCTTATGTAATTTGTAGATGTCTTGAAACCCGTTTAAAAAAAAAACAAGAACAATATTTTGATGTTCATTTTATGCAGGCAGGGTTCAGAGTTTATCTGTTAAGCCTCAAGAAGGATTCTTTGGCATTTCTGACCTAATGATTATGGGTTTGGACCCAATTTGAACTAGCAATTAAGCCACAATAGGCTCTATTTTCCATTATTAATTTCTTGGACTTGAAAAGTTTGTCAGTCTCAATGCTATTAGATGTTTAAAACTCTGGACTTTTTGCTTACTTGCTAAATACTGACACCTGGGTTTTTCTGTTCCACTGTGTTCATTTGTGAAGAAATTGGAAGACGCTAAGGAGTGTGTGTGTGTGTGTGTGAGTGTGTGTGTGTGCATGTGCCCATGCACTCATACACTCACGTGCATACACATATACATGTTTTACAATCTTTCAGGGATGAGCGCTCACCTTTACAAAATATTTTAGGTTAGATTAGCAAAGCTGAGAAATGCTGCATTCTATTCGTGTATTAACTCTTGACTAGGGCCTATCCTAAATGCCGACTGGAATTACTGTCGATTTTAGCTGTGGAAATTTGCTTCAGTAGACATTGATGTGACAGCATGATTATAAGTGGTTTTGATTAATTCCTCGGCACATGCATGTTAGAACTTGCTTCTGAGGTGACTGCTAATGCAAAAGGGATTAGGCCTACACATTGGGAATTTGAAACTCCCCAAAATAAACGAGTTAAGCACAACATCAGCTCAGACAGAAAAGGCAGTTACAGAAACACATTCGCAGAGATGCCAGATAGGAAAATAATTTTGTACAAATTTCACCTTGCAATGTCTTTCAATCTGTGTAGGAATTTAAATTGTTTTACTGAAGGGCAATCAACAGTCTTCTTGGTACAACCTGGGCTTAATGTTTCATTTTAGAAAAAGTAGGGCTATTTCAAAGGGAGAAAAACACTGCTTGGAGGACTTTCGATTACCAAAATGATGCATAATGGGGGAAAGTCCACACTGAGTTCTTTGCATGATAACATAGAAAGTTTTCAAGTTTATTCTCTATAGAAACTACTCTAGAAGAGTAGAAAATGGGAAAGTGTAACTCTCAGGTAGAAGTTTGCCTTTGGCTTCTGATATAGTCATGAATTTCTTAGGACTTTGTCTTTTGGTATTAATTAGGGATTACATTCAGCTGCAGATAACAGAAACACAATTATGGTAGCTTAACCAAATAGGGGTTTTTTCTTCTCACATATTATGTCTCCTGGGCATAGGAAGGTGAGGTTGGTGGGGTGGCATCATGATATCATCAACATCTTGGACTTATTTTGTATTTTTGTTCCTTTATCCTCACAGGTACTTCACGGTGCAAGATAGTGTTCTCCACCTCTACCTCCCTTTGTATTCCAGGCAGGAAGAATAAGAAAGCTTTGAGGAGGAAGGGCTGGCACCTATGCAAGGAAAGCAAAACTACGTAGGAATTCCTGGTAGGTTTCAGCTAATCTCATTGACCAAACCATGTTATATGGTCAGCCATTGCTATAATAGAGTCTGGGAAGTGGTAGGGGGATGTTTTTGGCTGTATTGCCAATAAAAATTAAATGAGGGTTCTTTTGGTAAAAACAAAAGAGAGAATGGATATTGGCTAGGCAAGCAGCATGTTCTACCACATATTGCTTCAAGATATTTACCATTGTCCATTCTGATTGGGCAATGCCTGTGACATTGTATTATTTTGTACACCATGCCTTCTTGTCCTGATTTTGCTTGATTAGAAGTAGATTTTGTTCAACATAGCATTAGTGCACAGAGTTGATGTTCTCAGGGAATAATGGCATCCTGAGAGCTTGTTGTTCAAGAATTCATCCACAGTGCTCTGAAACAACAACCTCCCCACACAATTATTCATACATACAGAAAGACTAGGAAGGTATGATCGATTGGCAGCATTGGATACAAAATCAAAAGCAAATCTGACATCCTTCATATGGTGACCCTGGGAGTTGAAACCTAAAGGATAAACTGTGCTGATGTCAAAAAACCCAAAGCAAACACTGGTAGAATTAATAGGAGAAATAGACAAATCCAACGGAGATTTTAATATCCCTTATGAAGTGCATATAGTGAAATCTCCAAGATAAAACATATGTTGGGAAATGAAACGTATTCAATAAATTTAAAAAAGGCTTGAGGTTTTAAATCATGTTAACTGATAATGACACTTAAATTAGAAATAAAAAATGTAAGATATCTTGAAAAGCCCAGACATTTGAAAATTAAATAACTCTCAAAGGGGTCAAGGAAAAAAAATCACAAAGAAAAGGAAAACTTAATTTGAGTAAAATTATAACAAAAATATAGCCTATGAAAATTTGTGGAATGTTGTAGAGCAGTACTTAAAGGAAAATTCTTAAATTAGGAGAGAAAAAAAGATTTAAGATCACTCTAAATTTCCACCCTAAGAAGCTAGAAAAAGACAAACAGTATAAACCCAACTATATAAAAGGACTAAAGTAATAAATATAAGAGTGGAAATCAAGAAATATAAAACAAACAATGGAGAAAATCAATAAAATCAAAAGTAAGTTCTCTGAAAAGATTAATAAAATTGATCAAACTATAGCTAGATTGATAAGGACCAAAAAAGTTAAAAAGAAAACCAAAACTACTACTTTCAGGAATAAATGAGAGTTTTGCTTTTTTTCATATGTTATGGATATTAAAGGGATAATAAAGGAATTTTATGAATATCTGTGTGCCAATGTATATGACAATTTAGATGAAATGAACCAATGCCTTGAAAAACACATTATCAAAGCTGACGTAATGGAAAATCTGAGTAGCTCCATAATAATGGAGTTGAATTTATTGTCAAAATCCCCCCACAAGTAAACCTTGAGTCTCAAATGGCTTTATTGGTGAAGTCTATCAAACATTTAAGAAAGAAAGAATGCAAATCCTACAGTTAGCTTCCCATAAAATAGAATAGGAGGTAATAATTCCCAACTTTTCTATGAGGCTTATCACAGGCCTGGCATTTGATTTTATTCTACTTACAAGCTAATAAATTAGCCTATTACTGTTTCATAGATTTTGGCAGAAGACATGAGACTCTTGGATCAGAGACAAATGACTTTATTACTCACAGAGGGCAAGCAACATGAGCATCATCATGTTTGTGTCTGTTCCCCTTTTTCTCAAGTCTCACAGAAGTGACTCAAAGGGCCAAATGGATGGCTCCACATGCAGTGAACTGCATTGTAGGAGAGGAATCCTGAGTCTGGAGATCCACCAACTTGTGTTTGTCTGCTGACACAGAGCCCTGATTGAAAATCAGGAAAAATAGTTTTGGTTTTAGCTCAGCTATTGACATATTCCCAGCACGAGTTAGATCACCTGTGTTTTGGGATCTCAGCTTCATTATCCATAAAATCAGAGGATCTGGACATGGTGATTTCTCAGGTCCCTTCCAACTCTATGATTTCAAGTGTCTATGTCCATGAAGTAAACAGGTTTGAAAAATGTAGCCCTAAATAATTTTATGTAATGGAATTAAGAGCATAAAGTTAAAGACATGGTGAACTCCTTTGGTCAAATGTTAGCTTGAAAATAGCAATTCCCTCACCCTATGATTCATACATTATCTAGGGATCTATAACTTCCTGACATTTGTATTTAACACTTCTGACTTGTACTGCTCGTAATATAGTATTCTTTTCATATCCATTTTAACTATCTCTTGATGGTGAGAACAAATCAAATAAATATACCTAGGTGTTGATATGTGTATGAACTGCATATCAAACATCTAGATATAGAGTACCTACATATATGTATGTGGGAATACATATATAAATGTGCATATCTCTGTACACATTAATAAATAATACTGGTGCAATAATATAACTTTTTTTATAGTCATAAAGCATAGCTTCAGTCCTTAAAAAGCTAACATTTTCTTTCTATCTACTTTTGCTGCTTTGAGAAAAGTATCACAAGTTTACAGAGGAACATTGGTCATATGCACCAAACTACTAGTCACTGTTTGTGTTTCTTCTAAAATTCAAATTTTTAACCATGAGATTTTCTAAACTTTGAAAATAAAAAGTGATATCAAACTACCTAGGATTCAATGGCATCAAACACATACTTTGTGTTGAAACCAAGTTTTAGAGTAAAGTTCAAGGAAACAAATGCTTATTGTCAAACTCAAGATCTTTCTTACTAGTTTTGAACTTGTTTGGTCTAGTAGTTAAGACATTATTTATGGGGCAGGCCCCGTGGCTGAGAGGTTAAGTTTACGTGCTCTACTTCAGCAGCCCAGGGTTCGCCAGTTGGGATCCTGGGTGCGGACATGGCACCACTCATCAGGCCATGCTGTGGTGGTGTCTCACATAGAGGAACTAAAATGACTTACAACTAGGATATGCAACTGTGTACTGGGGCTTTGGGAAGAAAAAAAAAAAAGAGGAAGCTCGGCAACAGATGTTAGCTCAGGGCCAATCTTCCTCACCAAAAAGCATACCTTAAAAAAAAGAAAATAAAAGACATTATTTATTGAATATACTGTGAAGTTAAGTTGTCTTGTCTCCTGCCTGAAGTCAACAGATGTTCTCCCTCTCACTTATTTTAAAAATTTGACTTCATGCTCTAGGTTAGCCTTTCCCAAATTCTGTTCCATGGGCTGTTATTTGAAAAAAGTGTTTCAAGAAAAATGGAGTTTGGGGAAGCATTGGATTAAAAAAAAAAGAAGGTAAAGGTGGTTTCTTTTGTGTGGACTTCTACAGGTCTTAATTGTTCATTGTGGATCTCTGAACGGGAAGTATGGAACACTCTTTTCCCAAATCCGTTTGACCTTGAAAAGCATCCTAAGAAATACACCTTGGAAGTGCTATTTGGGATTCTTCAGCACTAAGCCTTGTGATTATTTTACAGAGTTTGCAAAAAGTCCGCCTCATTAAAAGAAGCTCTTAATTTGCCCTTTTCCCATATTTTTCAGCTAAGAGATCTGGTTGCCTTCTCATTCAGCTAAATAAGAGAGGGAGAAATTAAGGATATGGGAAAGAGGAGCCTGGACCTACTTAACGGGGACTTGAACAGAATACAAGGTGTGGTGCACAGCCAGGTTGAAGGGCTTCAGCAGGCAGGCATGTAGACAGGACAAGAAACTGGCAGGATCGAGGCTGGCAGTGAAGCTAGCAGTCGGTGCAGACTCTTCCAGGAACAAAGTCAAGGCAAGATGAGGAGATGAGGCAGCACGGGGGCTTGGTTAAATAGGATCGGAATTGCAGATAATATAGTCTCGTGGAGCATCGGGTCTCAGGACCCCAACCCTAGGGAGGAACTGAGTCTTAACCCTCTGCCTGGCACCTGAAACAAATGCCTCTTCATTTTCTGTCTCTGGCGTCTCAGATTGTTTTTCCCTGGTTACAGCGGTGAGTCTCTTCTTGGCTTTAAAGGACAAAGGTTTTCAAGGCAATTTGCATGAGAGGGCAACACTCTATCCTTTAGGTGGATTTTGGACTCAGAGTCACCCGTAGGATGGATAAGGGCTGATTGCTCAGATCCATGAACTTTTCTTCATCTTTTTCCTCCTGGACAGGCTCCTTCTACCAGAACCTTGACAAAGAAAAGCCCCCGTTAGAGCTTATCCAGTCCCATTAGGTTTCCAAGCCTCATATGTTTTAGAGTTAAAAATAATTTTGCTGGGGCCAGCCTGGCGGCATAGTGGTTAAGTTCCCACGCTCTGCTTTGGCGGCCCGGGGTTTGCTGGTTTGAATCCCAGGCATGGACCTATGTACACAGCATGGCTTATCAAGCCATGCTGTGGCAGGCATCCCACATATAAAATAGAGGAAAATGAGCACAGATGTTAGCTAACAGCCAATCTTCCTCAGCAGAAAGAGGAGGATTGGCAGTGGCTGTTAGCTCAGGGCTAATCTTCCTCAAAAAAAAAAAAATTGTGCCAACAGCACATGCTCTGCATAACATCATGTTCAGCTCTGAGCTATAGAAAACCTGAAAAACAGTGCCTTAAACACAGAAAGGGATTATTTTTCTCTCATACAAGGTGGTGTGGAGACAGGTAGTCCAGGGCTGCTGTAGCTGAAGCACCGCAAGGTCATCAAGGATTCAAACTCCTGCTTCCCCGCTCTGCCCTCCTCAGTGTGTGTGGCCTTTGCACTCATATCTCAAGAGGGCTGCTGCCCCTCCAGGCATCACATTCCTTTTCCAGGCAAGAAAGGGAAAGGTCCAGAAGACTTTCCCATCCGGCTTTGTCTTGTGTGCAGAAGGGATGCTTTCCCCAGATATGTCTGCCTCTATCTTACTGGCCAGAACTGGGTAATGTGGCTTTTCCTAGCTGCAAAGTTATTTGGAGAAGTGAAGATATTTATATATTACTGAGGACATTGATGATCATCTCCAATAAAATTGGAGTTCTGTTAGCAAGGAGGAAGGGGAAGATAGATAGTGGCAAGTGACAAGCAGTTTCTGCCACGTGCCTACTGTAGAAAAATTAGAAAAAACAGAAAAGCATTTCTCAATTCTTTTCATTCTATATATTTATTCATTTATTTAGGCTTTCTCCTGATCATCGCCTTATTTGAAAATAGAGATTTTCTTGGCCTTACGTTGGACAGTTAAAGCAACTTCAAAGCTATAGCCTTAAGTTGATAGCTTTCGGATACAAATAACTTGCAGGAAATATTTTTTCCTAGAAGAATTTAGTATCCCTAAGATAGAACGTTTAAGAAAAAATGTAAATAAGGTTTCAGGGCAGAAATGGAAAATGGTTTCATGACAGGCAGTCAGCATTTTATTTGGGTCACAAAACAGACCATTTCCTGTCTTCTCAAAGCCCCATGCTGCTTACATCACTGCCCTGTAACCCAGTGGGTGAAAACGGACTCAGTCAAGGCCACAGAGGAGGCAACCGCTCCCTCATAAGTGCGCGGCTTTTCACTAATGGCTCTTGAAACTGATTGTGGGGTCTGGTCCTCTTCATCATTGTCATAATCACCATGGATTATATTTTGAGTGCCCACAGGGGGCATGGCACTGTACTGTGCATAATGTTTGCTGTCCTATTTCTGCTTCCGAATGGTTAGACATTTTGTTCATGCTGAGCTTATCTCTGATTCCAAGCAAAACTGTCCACTGCTGTCAGCTACCTAAAGCTACAGCTTTTTATATGGTGGAAATTCCCTGAAGGAATCTGATGAAAAAGTGACAGTACCACTTTTCAGCCAAGTTTTTTCATCATTAATGGATTTCCTCTTCATGCCTATTCATAGGTACTATTTTCTTCATTAGTGAGCTCAGCCGTGACATCGCAGAATTCAAGGTTTGCCAGAACCTTCAGGATTTGGAGGAAAAAGAGAGTTAATATTGATCACTCCTGGGAACAGTATTAGGTGCTTGATATTTCCTTCTTAAGTGATCCCTCTGAAGGAGTAATTAGTACACACATTTTGTAGATGAAGCAGCTGATGCTGGAAGAGTTTAGCTTTGCTGTCCAATGTCACATAACTGAACTGGAACCTGGGTCCTGATTTAATTATCTTTCAACTACAATCTGTTGTCCTTTAAGGAGTGTCATAATGTTTCACCGAGAGGTCACAAAACCCAACCCTCATTAGTGAATTCAGTTTAACCACCCCTCTTGTTGACATCGGTGGTTACTGTGCATAAGGAAGAAAAGCTGCTTTGACAAGGTAAATGAAGGTATTTAAGAAGTCTAACAGAATTCAGGAATAGGGTATATTATTGTTTTCAAGAGATATTATGAACTATGCTCTTATAATGCACTGGAACTAAAATTGCACTATATGCTTGCTTAATGTGGTTTATTTCCGCTATACATATTTACATCTTTCTTCTGCTTGCTTACTTTACAAGTAAGTCCATCATACTGATGGTTTTTCTAATAGTTTATCCTTGCTCTTAACTCTGCTTTGTTTTAGTAGCAATTTCTAGTGCGACGCTATATTTGACACATGCTTTCTTACTTCCGTTCAAGGACTTTCATAATTTTCCTACTCATTCACATCAGCCTCATTCTCCTCTTGCATTATTTCTGAGTGGTACTAACTGCACATTTATTTCCCGAGTATGTTTTAGAATCCTTCATCTCCCCTCTGTCTTTTACAATTGCAGATGGCTTTTCTGTAGCATGCTGATTTTCTCAAAGTCTATACTTGTTACAGCTTGATGTTCATGCTCACTTAAATAACGATTCAGTGAGAGCCTGAACGTTTGTAGATTGTCATTGCTGTTGAATCTAATTGTGCCTTCCATTTCATAGGTGCCACCATTTTCCTTATTTCTAATAATTCCGTCTGTAATGATTTTAAACCTTAAAAAGGAATCTTGGAGATTTGCTTTGCATGTTCCCTTCTTTACAGAATTTAGCTTAAAGGGGCTGCTCTTGAACTATTCTCAGTAATGGAAAGCGTTTAGATTAGAAACTAAAACCCAAAGATGTGACAATCATCTCTCCTGTTTCTTATCCATCTTTCTCTGGCCTTTAACCCACATTTCCCACCTGGTAACATGAGATACACCACGTGTTTATGGGTTTTCAAAGCATTTTTCATTAACCTCATACCGTCTTGATATTCAGGCATTGACTTTGGCAAAGACGATTATTTAATAATGGAATATTTTGGCACATGCACTTCCCTAGAATTATATGGTTAGTAGAAAAAATAATAATCTGTTCTGTAATATAATCTGATAGAGACTAAAATAAAATATAAAAGCAAATCTAACCCTACTTTTGAAATAAATGGACCAAGTGAAGGAAAACAGGCTTGCATGGAAAAAAAAAAAGAAAAGAAAACATGGAACTAAATGTCAAGGAATAGTAAAATAGCAATAGCTGTCTATAAAACACATGGAAATTAAATGTCAGGTTCTTTGCATATTTTTTATCACAGAATTGTGATATGATTTTTACCCATTTGAAAGAGCATCAGCACGCATTAGAATTATCCACGATAAAGGACTGAGTAGCTACTGAGCAAGGTGGCCTAAGGTGTTCAACCTGCCCAAGTCAGAATGACAGGTAAGACAGGGATCCAGATGTGCAAGTCTGGGTTAGACCTGGAAGAAGGCAGCATTGGTGGCCTTGCCCGCGTGAGGAAACCTTTTGAGTGAAAAGAGGACACAATGAAGGGCTTAGCTTGGGAATAAACATGTAAATTGAGCACGGCTGTTTAAGATAGTCCGGGCTAAAGCAGACCTGTTCTATTTCCCATTGATTCT